CACACATACACACACACATACACACACACATGAGAGGGAGAGAAAGAGATTTAAATTTTATTGTGTCATTTTGTCGAGGAATCTTATTGACTCTTAAGATTTGTAACCCTACAAATTTAATAATTATTTAGATCAAAACAACTAAAATATTCTTACTTTCTACTCATCTAATATTCATTCAGTAAACATTTATTTGGCTCTTCCTAATAATAACAGAATGTGCAACTCATTGAAAGGATCACAGGCTTAATGAGAATACAGTAGTTTCACAGAGTGATTTTTCTGACTTATCTTAAACTTAGTCTTAAAATATAAGAAAGATGTAGGAAAATAGCATATTCCACTTAGAGGGAAACACGAAAGAGCCCAATTTACTTCGTCGTTTTCAAGCTACGCATAATGTAAGCCCAAAATAAGTAGCACAGATTTTGCTGATGGTGACTTTATTCTCTTTATGTGAAGTGTGGGACAGGAACAATTGGACCTTGACATACAAGTGTGGGAATAATCACCATGGAATGTCACTCTAACACATGAATGCACTTTTTCGTTGCTAGAATTTCTCAATAGTGAAGTATCTATTTTTCTCAATGACAGAAGTCATCAAACTCTCTTTACTTTCAACAATTTGATATCTCATACACTCTGTCAACAGTGAGAACAGAGGCTCAGATACCCAAAGATGGGTTGATACATGTTCTCCTGCCACCCACCTGTCACCCTCAAGCCGTTCTCTCCGACTTGCTAGACTCACTCCTGGTGGTCTTGACAATTCTTGAGCTGCTCACATCTCTCTATGATGGTATACAAAACACCAGTCTTTAAATCAATTTTGATAGACAATTCAATGTAATGAGCAGTGTTATTTATACAATATTCTTTAATTAATCTTATAAGCCTTACCTCTGAAAGAAGAGTAAAGGGGAAACTAATAATTATAGAAGAAAGAGTACTTGATTTTGAGTAAGATGAATATCAAACTATTATCATTATTGCCTTCCTTACTGGTGATTTAAACATGAACAATTTACTAAATCACTTGATGCCATAAATAAACATATGTCATCTTGATGTAACAGATCAAAGGCTTCATTGTGTTTCTGAAAAAGTTTGGTTATTAGGACATTCACTGTAAATTTTTAGTCAAATCTGAGAGTAGATTCAAATTTTTGATCACTGAGTGTACCCAGAAATATAATAGACAAAATAAAATTTTAAACTAGATATAAGCACAGATAAGAATTAATGTAATCTGTGTTTTTCTTATGGCCTTCTGGGCAGATGAATTCTAAGGTAAAATGGTAAATCTCATAATGCCTTTCAATTTAATGAAATCCAATTTTTGATTTGTATTAGATTTACCATATTCAAGGGGAAAATGATAACCTGGGAAATTTTTCTTAACTTCTCTCTAAATCCAACTGTGCAACCAAAATAAATAAATATGAGATATCCTCCTCAGGGCAGATCAGGCTGAAGTAACAAGTAGTTCCCAGTTGCAATGGGCTGTAACAACAAATAATTCTCATTCACAATAAATTAATTTGGTGTAAGTCTGTTCCTAGGTCAGTTATACTCACAGATCCAGACCCATATTAGGGCTCCCAGAAGAAATAACTAGAGAGAAAAATCCTTTCATAACTCTCAAACATTTACTAGCAAGTGGTACTGAGAAAACTACTGAAACAATGTTCCTTTTATTTCCATTCCATTGGCCAAAATGAGATTCTTAATTGGAAAATAGATCTTCAAGAAGTATGGGCATGCAGGATTAACATAGATACATTCCACCAAGTATATCAAATGAATACACTAACACACATGCATATTCTAGAAATTTAGAGATTTTATTTTTCTAAAGGTGTCTGCCAGTGGGCTCTGCACATTCTTAGTCAGTATGACAGCAATGAATCAAAGTTGACAGAAGATCTTAGGGTTCTCATCACTGGAATTATTTCACTTGAAAGAAGATCCTAAAATCCTAAAAAAAAAAAAATCTACTTTTCCTTAAAGAGTAACACAACTATTACAGCAAAGTTAAAATGTAGGAAGCCAAAAACATATTGCCTATAATTTAGAAAGACAAGTACAGGGCAGTAACAACAAGAGATGGGGCTTGGTATCACTTTAGTTGGGACCCGGAAGTAGGTATATGACCAAGCTGTGCCCATTTTTCCCGGGATCCTCAATATAGAGAGAATTACGAAGCCTCAGGAACAATACTTTCTGATCTAGGGGATCAAGGAGGTGAGGGCAGAATGTGGGGAGAATAAAATCCTTCTGTGCTTAGAGCCATAAGAATAGCTGTCAGCTGATGACAGTGAGGGTAAATCAGCCCATCTTCACGCACAGGAAACTGACTGAGTTCCTCAGATTCCTCAGGAAATCAAAGAAAAATATAGAAAGAAAATCTGTTTTAAAACAACTGACAAGGCCATGCTAGCCTAAGTCCACCTTTTAAATTAGGTATTCAAACCAAAATCATCTAGGCCTTCACATTAAATTCACAATGAAAGAGGATCTCGATGTTTAGGAAAATAGAAAGGATATGCACTAACTCAAACAATGTTTTGAGACAAATAGCATGTGTTGTTGCCTGAGCTGTGGAAGTTTAAGTCAACAAAACAAAAGTGTACATGTTACGAAGACATTTTACAGCATAAAAGGAGAGAAATAATGATTGCATGTGAGAAACGGAAAGAAAGGAGTTAAAGGATTAACTCCATGAATCAGAATGATCGATAACACATAAATTGATTTGTCTGAACATGAAAAGGACATAATCTTGATGATTAATAAGAAATTATAACAAACTGAGATGAATTTGAAGCTGACTCTTTTTAAAAAGTTAGAAAATTTGTACTGATGAAGAATTGACATCTGAAAAATAATATGCCACAGAAAGGCCATGGCCGAAAACTGAGTCCAAGACATGGAAAAGGAATGGCTGGGGAGATAACAGATTTCAAAGTCCACATCAAAATAGAAAGAAGTAGATGCATAAGGTATATGAAGAGGTCTTTGCCTCAGCACGTGTAATTTAGCCAAATATCTAGGACCCTAGACTTGGTGAGCCTGCAGCCTGTTGTGATATCTGATACTAAAAAGAAAAAAATGCTATAGCCCTACACAAAATAAGTAGCTGGCACATACTTTCCAGGTGACTGAAATAAGTTAACTTCGTGCTATAAGAAGAAAAAAAAACAATAAATTTGAATAAGGAGCTTAAAGTGAAAATTTCTGCAATATTACCTTAATATAAGCTTGATGATGCTAAATGTAGTAAAATCAATAAAGATTATTTATCTATACTTTACAGTGCATTTCTTTTGCCCTGCAACTTCCAATAATCAGAAATCATTCAGAAGACAATAAATCTGAAGGTGTAGAAAAGGCTACGAGTATACCTTACATCAGAAAAAATTTAGAAACTCAAATAAGAACATCAGAAATTAGTTTATAAATGTAAGATTTTTTTAATGGGACCATATAACTGTAAGATAAATATCAGTAAGGACAATCTGGTTCCTCTTCCCCCAAGTAAAGGGAATGTAGCAGGTTTTTGTTTGTGTTTCATATTTCTAAAAATGTATTATTAACTTCATGAGGCATAACACTAGATGAGAGAAATAAATTTCATATCCACAGATTCTTGAGAAAAAAAAATATAAAGTATGAATTCTGGATCCAGTTTCTCTAAATACCTACTTCTGAGTTCTGGACTTGGGTATCTAACTGTATGTTTGACATTTGTTTTCCATTTAAGTAACAAATAGCAATTCTAAAACAAAAATATCAATACTGTTCAAATTTTGTTTCATCAAAACTTGCTGTTCACGGTATATAACAACTCCATTCCTCAGGTTGCTGAAACCCAATCCTTGGTGATATTCCCAGTTTCTCTCACAAACATTATACAGTGAATACTAACCTTGAGTCTTCTCTTCCTCCAAAACAAACTCAGGGCCCGAACACTTTCCTTCACCTCCACCGTCATCATCGTATGCAAGCTACCATCGTTTCTTTTCCAGATGATTGCAATGAATTCTAATCTGGTATCTTGGTATTTACTTTTATTTCTTTTTCTCTTTATTAGTTATTTGATGGATAAATCCTTAAAAAACGTGAAGCAGCATGTCTTTCTTCTGCTCAAAGATGTGAATTGCTTCTTATCTCATTGAAAGCAAAAGCTAAGAAATTGACAATAATTACACGACTGAATGGCCTGGCTGGGTTCTGACATGCTTCTCTCGTATCCACACAGTAGTGCTCAGTAAAGTTTATTTCAGTGAATAAATAAACCCTTCAAGGCAAACAAAGTCAACACTTAGACATGCAGCGTTTCCAAAGCACTGTCCTCATGGAAAAGAGATCACTGTCACTGGTACCTGCCTTTCTTCTCCAATGTATTCCACAGACAAATTTCAAGATAAAGGAAGATGAAGAAAATAGCAAATAATGATTATACTAAAACTAGCAAGATGTTAAAATTTTTTTCATGAATGAATAAATTAGAAATCACAAAAGACATATGATACTATAAATATTTATAAAAACTGGAGGTAACATTTATAAATACTCAAGCAAAATGCAAAAGTTAGAAGATGATGATGTTAGCCAAGACATAAATTTTAATAGATAATTTTTCCAGGTGGGAGTTGAGTAACTAAAACAGTACTGACATAGAATTGACAAATATATGATTTTTAATTAGATGTAAAATTATCTTATTGTGATCTCTCGAGTTAAAAAATAATCATTAGCCAATTTTGCAAGCATTTTAAAATTTCAAACTGAGGGGCAGAAATGGTGTACATATATGAGTGTATGGATGGGGTAAGCAGAAGGATAAGTAAGAAAAAACCTATCAAGTTAGAAAGAGAAATCAAATAAAATTGACAAAGTTAAAAAAAGTAAGAAGAGAAAAGATAGTAAATCTCACCATAGAATATGAGAGGGGCAAAAATATTTCAGTATTGGTTTAAAAATAATTTAAGTGTGTGCTTGCTTCAGTAGCACATATATTGAAATTGGAATAAAACAGAGAATATTAGCATGGTCCCTGCACAAAAATGACCCATGAATTCATGAAGCATTCCGTATTTTCATGACAATGAAGACTATGATTACAACAACACCAATAAAAAGAATCCACTAAGCAAGGCAAGCAATTAAAGAGGCAACGTATATGTTCTCAACCAACCAATCGAAAGAAACAAGTTGACAGAATAAGTCAAGAAACAATCTTATAATATGCTGCATATAGGAAATACATTTAACTAACAAACAAATTCATAGACTGAAAATCAAGGGACAGAAAATAATACTTCATGTAACAAGAACCCTGATAAAAGCAGGAGTAGTTATTCTATTTGCAGACGAAGTGAACATCAAGCCAAGGCTGATCAAGATGGACAAAAAAGATCACTACATGCTTGTAAAGGAAAGACTCCAAGAGGAAGCGATAACAGTCATAAATATATATGCACCAAATACTAGTGTACCAAACTATATAAAACAAATATTAACAGACATAAAAAAATCAGTTAAGCACTGACACAATTGTAACAGAGGAGACCTCAATATCTCATTGTCACAAACAGGCAGATCAAGTAGACAAAAAAAAAAAAAA